CGATATCTCAATTTCTCGCCTTCAGTGCAACACCGTAACCACATAGAAGAAAGAGCACCGTAGTCACACCGCTGTCACACATCGGAACTCGCGCCTAATCACCCAATCAAAGGTTGTCACACATCTGAACTTGCTCTCCGAGCGAGTCGCCTTCGACTTTTAGAAGTACCTCCTCCCATACCCGTAATTGTTCCTGGCCCCGTACGGACCGTTACCATAGTAACCTCCTCCGTACGGCCGCTGCTGGCGATAAGCTCGATCCATCCAGGAGTACCCGGACGCCTCATACAGCCTTCTGCGATGAGACGCCGCGAATTCAAGTCCATTTTCCCCCCTCTCTAGGTCTTGGAAAGTTCTCATTCCCACAAAGTTGGACATGTCCGCCTCCAAAGCCTGTGCATTCGCCATCTGGGCTTCTTTACCCATCATACACAACATAATCACCACTACCACCAACCCCGTCACTCTCCATAACCAACCACCATATCCTCTCCCCATCTTCCTCCTTCTCCCTCTCTCCCCGCTGCACTACCTCTCTCTCACTCTCTCTCTCACTCTCTCTCTCACTCTCTCTCTCTTGGCGTGAGTGCGCTTCTCCCGGCGCGCTTTGCCTTCAAATCCCTTATAGAATACTACACACGCTTATCAATCAACTTCCCACTTTCCGATCGAAAACCTTCTCCCTCTCCTACACGACAGCAAATTTTTCCAATTGAAAACTCTCTCCGCGACCTACAAACGCAACGACCTTGGATCGCGCGCACCTCGCGCGCACATCGGCGTGATGGTCTTGGTCGTCTGAACAGACATACTACTCACACGGCTATGTCGTTCGCTCGATCGACTCCACTCATCGACAAATCAACAAAACCCTCCCCCCAGAAGCGCATCGTCGACGTTTCCCGAGCCTCGCTCGTCTGTTGACGAATGAACGAAAATGAGAATGAGAAATGAGAAATGAGAACGAGAATGAGAATGAGAGAGTGGGCGCCGCTCCGCGACTCTCCGAATGCGCAAAACATGCGACCGAATCTTCCGCTAGAACATGGAAAAATACATGGCCATATAATGTTTTCGTCTTTTGGCTGTAGCGAGGAGCTCCAGGGCCTCGTCGCACTACTACTCGCCATCCGCCAGCATTTTGATTGCATGTGGACATCAATTTGTCCAGATGCATTCGAAATCTTGGCGGATGGCGAGTAGTGCGACTACAGTAGGGCCTTGGTTGGCCATTCCTCGCCACAGCCCACGTCACCGGGTAGCGCACAAAAGCATCCCGCGGCAGTACTCACTCATTCACCAAACCAAATGTGCAAAAGGAGAATGCATCTACCTCTATTGGGTGTCAAAATGCACGCGCCATACTTTTGTCTTTTCCACATTTGGTGAGCCGCGCAGCAAGTCCCACTACCGCCACGACGGCAGTGGCGCCTTTGTTTCACCAACGGCGGGGCTACCGGTACCCCAGTTGGTATACCCACGATCTGCTGAAATGCACACCAGAGTTCGAATCCACCAGATCCCGATGCAACCACACGAAAAGAATAAATAAGTTCGGAATTGCCTCGGGCCGGTCAGTTCTTGCTCGTACCTCAAGGCTATCGCCCGTTATTCAAAAAAGGATTAAAAAAAGAAAAGGGACCGGTAGTGGCGCCATTGATTGGGGGGATGGTCATTAGGCCGCCATAAGATCTGAGAATCGTGTGGCCATAATTTGGCCACGTCTAAGACTTGCTCAGAAACAATATACTGCACTATCAGACGCTACTTGGAACCCGCCAGTAACCGCCTATCACTCGCCACATGTGAAAACGACAAAAATATGGAGGGTCTCGCTCCAGTACTATCTGGGCCAAGGTCCCACTAGCAAAGAGGATAGGATCAAGCTCCTGCATCTGGATGTGTTTTATGCAGAGGTGCAGAAAAGCAGTTCAATCTCGATTTCCTGCACCTCTCCCCAATCACCTCCAGATTCGGGCATTCGATCCCATCCTCTTTGCTAGTGGGACCACCCCCCTGCTGTACTATTTCAGATAGTGGGACACCGCTCCATTTACTATCCGAAATGTTGATTTCCTTCGGAAATCACCGTATAGTTGTCAGATGGCGCCCTCCGGCGCCCTCCAAATTTACAGTACGATCCGGTATAGTTCCCAGCCTGCAAACGTCGTTCTCCGAGGGTGGTCAAAGGAGGTTGGCGTTCTACCACGAAATCGTGCGGAGCACCTGGATTGGATTCTGGGCCGACACATTGCTGTCGTGTTGTGCTGTACGGGTATTTTGTACTGAACTCAGGGCATACTCACACGAGGACCAAAAGACTCAAAATCCCAAAATTTGAGTCATTTTTTGGGTCACGCTTGAGAGGCTCGCTACCCAAATGCCTCAAACGGTGACCCTTCTGTCATTGGCCTGCGGGGCCGCGGGCGGACCATTTTTTAGACCACCTCCAGAAGTGGTCTCAAATTACCTTTCGTTTTTTTTTTTGTTTTTTTTCTATGTTTGCGAATTGAAGAGAATAGTAGACAAAGGGAATGTTTCATTAGATGATTTGAATCCCTTGTTTTCAACAAAACACGTGGGGCGAGAATTGGATGAGTTATCAGATTTGATAATGGAGTTGGATCTCCACGATGTATATCGATTGTCTACCGCGTGGGCGCCGGGAACGCAGCCCTAAGG